TATAAGTCGAACAGTTACAAAATTTAGTTATAACATTTTAAGGATAATAAAAAGACTTATAATACTAATAATTTTATTTGGGCAAAATGGTGAGGTTTATAATTAAATCAAAAAAATAACACTTAAATCATTATTTATTAAAAATTTTCCCTAAATTTTATGCATTGAAAACATCCAGTATATGTATGTGAAAATTCAGACATTTTTAAGAGTGCTGGTTTGGCCACATTTTACTCAGATAGAGAAAAATGTTTTTTTTTTTTGTTAATTAAAAAATTAGCGGTAATTGTTTTAAAGAGGATTAAAATGTTATATTATTATCTTTTCTTAATAATTTTTTTATATGTTTTAAACTTGATTTTTTCAAGTGTTTGTTGTTTGAAATAATTGTTTTAAATGATCTAAACAAAATGGATTGATTAATTTGATGTTTTAATTATGAAGTTTACAACAAAATGTCATAAGCATCTCAATCCTGCTTTTTACACATAAAAAATCTTTATGCACTTAAAGTAAAATAAATGTATTTTCAAAAATTTTATATTTACTGTAATTTTATATTTAAAGATATGTATTTTAATTTATTTCTCTTTCACATAAAACTGAATAAACTTGAATTTGTTATATATTAATATCATATTTAGATTATATGATATTAGAAAAATTAACTGATTAATAAAAATGTTGAACCAATAATTAATCAAGATATTTATTAAAATAAACTCGGTTTTCTGGTGATTCAATAAATGTTGAAGACTGAGTATCTTGATTTTTGGCAATACGTTTTAACTCTAAAAAATTATGGTAAAAAGAGTAAATAATATATTTAATTTTTATATTGATGATTACTTTTTGTCAATTTCTCATTGTCAAATTCCTTTTCATCATCTTCGCTAGATTCACTTTCAATAGAATTATCTACTGACTGCGTAGAAACAGCTAAATAAAGAGTAATATTTCTATAAAATCATACTTATTATAAATAAATTGAATTACAATAAATTAGTATAGCTTAAATAATTATAAGGGAAACCAAATCACCTGTCTTTTGATACACACCATGTTTATGAAGAACTATAACACATAAAAGTATTTATATGCGTATTATAAAATAAAATAAATTAATATTAAGTATAATGAAATGCATAATTAATAATTTTGTGTTATATTGGTTAAATAATTTAAGTTTACTGAATGATTTTCCTTTGTAATATCTACCTTTACAAAAC